GTAGTCGTAGTCGTATAGTCGTAGTCGGTAGTAGTAGTAGTAGTAGTAGTAGTAGTAGTAGTAGTAGTAGTAGTAGTAGTAGTAGTAGTAGTAGTAGTAGTAGTAGTAGTAGTAGTAGTAGTAGTAGTAGTAGTAGTAGTAGTAGTAGTAGTAGTATGACAATCCGGAGTTTGTTGGCCGGAGGGGCCACTTAGAGGCCTCTCAGAGGCCCTTCAGAAGTTTCTCAGAGGCATCTCGGAGGCCTTTGAGAGGCTCCCCAGAGGCCTCTCAGAAGCGTCTCAGAGGCCCCTCATATGTTTCTCAGAGGCCTCTCAGAGGCCTCTCAGAGGCCCCTCAGAGGCCTCCCAGAGTCCTTTCAGAGGCCTTTTGAGAGGCTCCTTAGAAACCTTTCAGAAGCGTTTCAGAGGGCCCTCAGAGGCTTCTCAGAGGCCTTTTCGGAGGCCTCTGAGAGGCCTTCAAAGGCCCTTCAGGAGACTCTCGGAGGCCTCTGACGGGTTTCTGAGAGAGAGGGAGGCGTCTGAGGGGCCTCGCAACGTTTCTCAAGCGCCAAAAGCACCTCTTGAGGCCTCTCAGAGGCCTCTTGAGGCCTCTCAGAGGCCCCTCAGCGGCTTCTAAGAGGCCTTTGAGAGATCCCTCGAAGGCTTCTCAGAAGCTTCTCAGAGGTCTCAGAGGCCTCTCAGAAGCCTTTCACAAGGCCCCTCAGAGGCCTCCCACAGGCGTCTCCGAGGCTTTTCAGAGGCCGCTCAGAGGCTCTTCAGACGCCTCCCAGAGGCTCCTCAGAAGCCTCTCTGCCCCCTCTCTCCGTCGTCGTCGTCGTCGCGGCAGGAATGGGATGGGGGAGGGGATGAGGAGGGCGCATCCAGGAGCAGGGGGGAATGGTAAGTTTTTCGTTTCCGCCCTGCCCCCGGAATAATGTAGTACTATGGCGTAGCAGGTGATAGTGGGTAGTAGTCGGCAGTCGTAGGTAATACTATTCGGTAGTAGCTGGTAGTTTAGGTCGTAGCAAGTAGTAATGAATGGGAGTAGATAGTAGTAGGTAGTAGTAGGTAGTAGTACGTCGTAGTAGGTAGCAGTAGGCAGTCGTGGGCAGTAGTGAGCAGTAGTGGGCAGTAGTGGACAGTAGTAGGTAGCGGCAGGCAGTGGTCGGTAGTAGAAGGTCGTAGTTGGTAGTCATATATATAGCAGTAGGCAGTCGTAGGTAGTAGTAGGTAGTAGTAGGTAGTCGTAAGCAGTACGACGTAATAGTAGGTAGTAATTTGTAGTAATGGATGATGATGGGCAGAAACGAGTGGTAGCATGTAATACTCGGTAGTGGTACGTAGTATCAGGTAGTAGTCAGAACTAGTAGGTAGTTGGAGGTAGTGGTAGGTGGTAGTTGGCAGTAGTCGGTAGTAGTAGATAGCTGTAGGTAGTAGCAGGTGGTAGTAGGTAGTTGTAGGTCGTAGCAGGTAATAGTAGGCATCAGTCAGGAGTTGTAGGTCGTGGTAGGTAGTAGTAGGTAGGGGTAGGTGGTAGTAGATAGTAGCAGGCAGTAGTAGGTATTAGCAGGTAGTGGTAGGTAGTCGTAGGTAGTAGTAGGTAGTAGTATGTAGTAAGGTTAGGTAGTGCTAGTTAGTACTATCATGTATCTTGGTCAGGGTTGAACCATCAGATCACCAGCACACGGGCACTATACCACCACCATATGGTCATACTACCGCCAAAATCTGATCAGCATACCACCAACACCTGATCAGCATAGCACCACCACATGACCACCATATGATCACCATATGATCACCATACCACCATATGGTTATCATACCACCACCATCTGACCACCATACCGCCACCATATGACCATCATACCACCACCATATGCCCATCATACCACCGCCATCTGATCATCATATCACCACCATGTGATCATCATACCACCGCCATCTGATCATCAGACCACCACCATATGATCAGCATACGTCCGCCATATGATCATCATGCTACCACCATATGGTCACCATGCCACCACCAGATGATCACCATACCACCGCCATATGATTACGAGACCACCACCATGTGACCATCAGACCACCACCATATGTTCATCATACCACAACCGTATGATCATCAAATCCCCACCATATGATCACCAGACCACCACCCAATTCATCATACCACCACCATATGAGCACCATTCCGCCAACATGTGACCATCATACCACCACCGTATGATCATCATACAACACCACCTGATCACCGTACCACTATCGTGTGAGCATCATACCACCACCGTCTGATCAACATACCACCACCACCAAATGATCATCATATCACTATCGAATGTTGACCATACCACCACCATATCATCATCATACTACCACCACCATCTGATCATCGTATCACCACCGTAGGATCATCATACCACCACCATGTGATCATCATCCCACCGCCACCATATGATCACCAGACCACCACCATATGATCAGCATACCACCTCCAAATGATCATCAAACCACCAGTA